GGGTCCAGCTTCCTAACACTTCAAAATAAAAAAAACCAAACCCGTTGCCGCTGAGTCAATTCCAACTCACAGCAACCTTATCGGACAGAGGAGAAGTGCCCCGATAGGGTTTCCAAGGAGTGGCTGGTGCATTCGAACTGCTGACCTTTTGGTTAGCAGCCATAGCTCTTAATCACTGCACCAACAAGGCTCCTTCCTAACACTGGTCTCCCAAATTACACCTTAAGGACAGAGTGTGTTTGCTAGGAGCAGGGAGAAGGATCTTAGAATAAGCAGGGGGTCAGTGATCTCTGCTTCCTATTTATCCCGTGGACCACGCACTGTGTGCCACCCCTGGGCCCAGGCCCTCCACTCCTCTCTAAAGCTCACGAGAAGTGCTGCTGTGAGCAAGAGTAATAGGGCACCAAACCTGCAAAACAGCAAAACCGAGCGACAGCCACAAACGAAAGCTTCAAGAGCAAAACCAGTAAATGTGTAGAAAATGTTGAGTTGTCTCCTGTATTGAAAAACATCTTGGTTTTTCTGTAAGACTGCACATAAGCAAAGACATCACTGTGCCCACTCACCAAGGCTGCCCCCATTGGCTATGGGTGCAGGCAAGGTCCAGAGTCACCACGTACAAGGTCCCCGGTGAGAAACCCCACATGGTCACCAAGGTCCACGGCCACTGAGAAATCGCCAAGTGGGGACTCAGAGAGCGTGTCAGCAGCCCCGACCCCCAACCACTGCCCTCTCTGGGATCCTAGCATCCTCAAGTTTGGGGTCCTGGATCAAAAAGGTCACCTTGAACGGTAACCCAGAATGTACAGGTTTATGATGCACAATTCTCAAAGAAGGGACTAGGGTCACCCCAGTGACAACAGTGAAAGAGAGCATCATAGGGGCCTTTATTTGTGTTTTACTAAGAAATACTTAGATTCCCAGTGATCTGGATGGTAAGTGACAGAGACCTTCAATTTACATTCAGAGCAAGGCAGTGTCTCCAACATGTGTGCCCACCAGGGCATGCAGGAAGCCAGTGCCAAGAGTTCTTAATGACTGTTGTGGTTATCAGACACCAATCCTGAGATACTGGAAGGCAAGGGAGACAGCCACGTTAAGGGGTATTTTATTTGGGAATCTGAGTACAAACAGACTCCCAGAACTTTACAGGAGACACACTCTGCATGGCTTTGCTTACTCATGCTGGAGTACTTGTTACGTATTTTTTTAATTATATATGTATAAAGATAACACTTAAAATAGTCCCTTCAAATGAGCATTCTTGTCTTTTGACAGATGAGGATGATGAGCATCTAAGACTCTTTATTTAAAATGACAAAGAAGGTGAAGTAGAATCAAGTCTGCCTGTTCCAGTCAAGTTTGGTTGGGGTGAGGGCAAGAACTCCGCTGG